GCGGGGGGGGGGGGGGGGGGGGGGGTGCGGGGAATGCACCAGTGGGGAGGCAGCAGATGCGGCTCTGGCCCCAATCCAGGCTCAGGGCCAGAACCAGAGTAACAGCAGCTGCCTGCTGTGAAACCAACCTGTACACCAATACCAAGATGAGGGACTTTACACCTGTGTTAATGGGGGGCAAAACCCCCAAAGCTTGGTATCAAGTAAATATGGTAAACAGCTTGGAGGCTGTTTAAGTTGCATGGGGGTCTACAGTGGCTACGTGTCAGTCATAGGACTGAGAGACTGTGAAGATATCTTAAATCACTCTAATCACCTTTGGTTTTGCATCCTGTACAGTTTTGACAGATGGGAGAACCTACACTAATATGAATAATAATCTTCATTTAAACTTAGGAAGTAAAATGGCATTTCCCAGAGGATGATACCTGGAAACTTGCCAAGTTCAAAAGGTTAGGATCAAGCTCTGGGCTAGTGGTGACGGACATTAGTGAGTGCTGGAAATGTCAGGTGTCTCATTGCTCATATCTGGGATAGAACTATGGACTGAGATAATCTTAGTGTTGACAATAAAGAGGTATATGGTAGAATGTATGCTGTTTGCTGGTGGTGGGAAAATTGTTGCTTGTTGGGAGTTGGGGGGTAATTTCTTGGAAGTTAGATAAGATCAGGAGGGTCAGCAGAGGTAGCAGGAGCAAGTGGGGAAAATAGTGGAGAAAGGAAGGAGGTTATATCTGTGGCTAGACAGGGCTGGAAGTAGGAGTGGGCAGCAGAGAATGTGTGGGAAAAGGCATTCAGGATATACCATATTTACCCAAATCCAAGATGACCCTGAATTTAAGATGACCCCCCCCCCAATAATTCGAATATAAAAGCCTTAGTTTGTCTGTCCATAATGCTTTATTCACACTCTGATTTGGTTGTCTCAGCACAGAAGCACACAGTGGAGTGCTGCCATGACAGCAGGGGCTGAGGGGCCTGATTGGGGGTAGGGTGGCTAAGGCCAGCAGTGCTGGCCTCCCACTCTGGCCCTGTTCCTTGGAGCCAGGGGCCAGAGCAGCCCCCCGCCCCAACAATAGCTAGCAGGGAGGGGGAGGGAGAGGCGGCAGTGAAAAGGGGAGGGAGGGAGGGAGGAGAGAGGGAGGGGAATGGGAAGGGGAGGAGTGGGGTTGCTGGTGACAGTGCCCCACTGCTAGCTGCTGCAACTGCTGCTGCCCACTGCTGCGACCACCATCTTCCACTTCTCCTCAGCCTTGAGTCCCCACACCATTCCCCGTCTGTGTTTAAGCTCCCCTCCCTCCCGCTGTTCCTGGGAGGAGGCAGTGGCAGCAGTGTGGAGTTGAATGGCAGGGGGTATGGTGGGGGCATATGGGCCTACACCTGAAGTGGCAGGGGGTATGGGGGGGAACCGGACCCAGAACGACAGGGAGAGAGGGGTAGCAGGCCCAGACGCAAAGAGGAGGGTGGGGAAGCTGGACCCCAACCTGAGGTGGCGGAGTGGTGGTGGTGGGGAGGAACGGACCCAGATGGGGGGGGGAGGGGGAGACGACAATGCGGGCTTCTGTCCCTGCCTTCCCCCCCCAACCCCCACTCCTTTGTTATGTTGGACCGGCAATTGGCTAGTTAGGTTCTATATGTAGAAAATGTATAAATCTAATTTTTGGAGGTTTTTCTTAAATTTGTCCCCATCATCACTGTAGCAGGGAAAACAGTGGTAGGGTGGCAGGCAGAGCAGGCGGTATGGGGGCAGGCAGTGGAGAGAAAAGTGGGGGACAGGCAGTAGCGGGGCAGGCAGTAGGCAGAAGGTATGGAGGCAGTGGTGCGGGTTGGGGCCATGCTGCATGCCACAGGCTGGAATAGGGATGGTGCCAGCTGGTACCTAATCAAGGGTTAGGGGTGAGGTAGGGGCATGGGAGGGTGCAGAGGCTGTGCATGGAGGGAAAGTCGGGGAATGGTGTGGTGGCTCAAGGCTGTGCAGGAAAGAAGTGGCACAGGGGGGGAAATCAGGGTAAAGGGAGGCGGAGGCCTGATGTTGCCCGGAATGTAGAGGCAGCAGGGGCGGGAGGCAGACAGCAGCCAGAGCTGCAGCAGCTGCCTATCCCCCTTCCCCCACAAGTGTACGCAATTCCAAGATGAGGCGCTCCTCCCTTCCATGTTGAATGATAATAAATGCCTCATCTTGGAATCAAATAAATACAATATATGGCAGGCCAAAGGGTCTTGTAGTCAGGAGGATTTCAAAGTACTTTGCTGTACAGGTTTGACTGTGGTTTGATTGATTTCCAGAATAGGAGAGTCACCTTCAGTGTCCTAAGGATTAAAAAGCCATCCAAAGAGAAGTCAGTAATTAACTAATACATTTTGCTGACCACTGACCCAAATTTCCTTAGCCAGTCAGTTTGAAAATTCAAAGCAAGAGAGAGAATAAGGCCAAAAAGTAAAAAGTATTTTTAAAAGATAGTTTGTAGCTATCATGGCAAACTTTTAACAGCAGCATTTGTGAAAGGTACTGGATTTAACACCCTCAAATTCTTTTAGGGATGGATTAAGAATAATTGGGGTCCTGTCCTGAAGTGTCAGGGCCTGAGACAAAACGCTTTCCTGGCTGCTGTGCTGCCTTTGCCTGGAATGCTAGCACTTCTTATTAGTCAGCCTATTTCCACAAGCATCTGCTGTGCACCCTTTGGCAGATACAGTATTTGCTCAAAGTCAGTGAAAGCATCAGAGCACATTAGAAAACAGGGTCCTGATTCTGGGCTTTGACTAGGCCTGAACTTCTACTGCATTTTAGAGCTGATTCAATCTACACTTTCTCTGTTCTTTATGACAATACATGGTAGCTTTTAGTTTTTTAGAAAACTAAAAAACAAACAAACTTCAGTTACTTTGGGCCAATGTGGTGTAAATTGTAATGCCACTGTAATCAGTGCATCTGTGCTGATTTCTGTAGTTAAGGTTCTGGCTCATTTACACTCGTGCATTATACAATACCTTAAAAGACAAATTAACCCTGTATAAGAGAGAGATTTATTTATTAAAAAACTCTGTACATCAAAGTATAAACTATTATATTTTAAACAAGAAATGAAGTTTTAAAATATTACAAAACCAGATGTAATTAGTTCTTGAATTACTACAAATTTTATGAACACTGTACATAAGACCAAAAATCTGAATGATAAAAACCAGGAATAGAACCAACTGCTTGAAAATATATGGTATAATTTACTAATGAAGCAAATGTTATAAATCCTTAGTATACAACAAAACTGAAAAGTAGCATGTTATTTTTTTCCAGAAATGCAGTAACCTTCCGAACACAAACTATAGGTAGTATTCTCTTAAACAGTGATATTCATACAGAGATATTTTTCAGTATGATGATTTTCCACTGAGTGTTTCATTCTTAGTAGAAGTTTTCCTATCATGTCCCATTTTTCATGGATAAGATAAAATATAACTGTATGGTATATTTAGAAAAATCTGCATAATATCTGGTGCTTAAGGAACACCCAGTGCAAAATATACTTTTCTTGCCATGTAAATTTACTACAACCAGATTTGGACCAAAAAACCCTGATAATAGAACATATGTATCTAAAGAAATAGTTCTGTATTGACTGCTCTCTTCTCTCATAAGGCAGTTAAAAAGAAGTAAATTTAACCTGTTAAAATAATCTTTAAATTTGTATAGCATTTAATTTTATATTACTTTTTCGTTTTGAGATTGTCAGTGGAGCTGAATTAGAATTTAAAACTATTATAAACATAGATCACTTTTTTAATTGCATGAATTACTTGGCTAGGAAAAGAATGTGAACTTTTACAAAAGTGTAAGCATAAATGTCTCGTATAGAAGTGTAACAGGTGTTTAATCCAAGTATGATAAGAGAGGCAAGATTTTAATCTTTATACAGAAAGTGACAATGCTCACATTATAATATGGAACACGTACTAATTTTGAGTTACAGGTGTAATGTGTGGATTACAGATATCAATTTACTAAATAAATCTAAAAAAAGCAAAATCTATAAATAAAATAGTAAGTGCTTTCTTTGATAATATTCTTTGGCTGTTTTAGGTGCCAGTGAAGGGTCACTGATGACAACTAAAATGCAAAAGGTCCCACTATTATTGTTAATCTTAGCACTGAGCTTGTACGATAGTTCAAACTGTTGACTGTCAGCATCTCCAGATCTACAATATGTTCTCTTGGTCCTGACAGTGACTTCACCAATACGAGCATTGCACTTAGTGCACTTGTTTGCTGAAAGAAAAATGATAGAAACGTATTTTAATTCATACAATTCAAAACCATCAAAGTTGCTCACATTTGTTACTTCAGTATAAAAATCACCCTAAAGTGACTTTGCATAACATCCTTGTTATGTGGAAAAAAGTTGTTGATGGCTGCATATCTGACTACCTTCTAGGGTTAAGGGAGGTCACGGCTCTGGCCTGTAAGGATGATCAAGTGCATGGAATCATGAACAATATCAGTATAAATGGGAGTTCCTGGTATTCAGCTCAGGGACTCTATTGTGGCATTAAAAAAAAAGTTGCTAAGTATAAGGTAAAAAATAGAAGGGGTCCTTGCTTTTAATTGGTATGGTTATTTAAGCAGTTGTAGAGCAACCTGCGAGGCAAAGATTAGAACCTAGGAGCTTGTAAATATTTGACAAAAGGGATACAAAAAATTAAGATACCTTTTCCAAATTTTTTTAAAAAAGTGTAATTTTTTGACATCTTATTCTATGTGTATCTTTTTTGCCCATACAAAACCAACTTGAAATATTCAAATAATATGTAATTTTAAATTCTATGATTTGTTTTCTCAAAATGTTTACAACGTTCTTGAAAAATAAAGATATAAAACATAACTTTTGTTTCAACTGCAACTTATGGTGCTGCTACTGTCCCACTATAATTTTTAGTAATACAAATAGACATCTTAATTTTGTCATGTGGTTCCAGAAGCATGGGCTCAGGCCAAGAACTGACCGTGTGCATGCCTTAATTGTCCTCTGGTTGGAGTTGAGTGTTCCAGAGGTCAGCACGTTAGATCTCAAACTATGGCAGATGTTTTACTTTTTTAAAAGAAAGAAGGGAGAAACACAAACAAAAAATTTATACAAAAATTCCCCTAAGACTTGAAAGCTAAATGATGGTCATCAAAACCAGTTATTCTGGGAAGGGAAGTGAAGGTAGAAGAAGCCTTTCCATAGCCCTCAGTAAATTCTTCCTAATTATAACAGTAGATGTAAAACAAAAATAGTGGTGTTACACAGGAGTAACTGATGTCTGAACTTAGCTTGCTGAACAATTTTCCCAAGGTAACTGGATAGAAAGAACCTACCTTGATTCTCAATCTCAGATTGCATTTGCTAACAGTTACTTGACGTGGAACTTAGGGAGAGATAGCAAACACGGTACCATTTTTCAGAGAACAGCATTTTACAGCTATGAAAGAGCCAGGGCTTTCTGTATTCACACACTGCCAACCCTCTCCTTCAGCCCTTTTCCCCTTTCCCTGGATACTCACTCTCAGGTAGAACTCTCCATTTTCATTTCCAGACTTAATTCGGAAAGTATTAATAGTATTGGGATAAATAGTGGTTGCCTGGATTTGGAAAATATCAGAGGGCACATTTCTGTCTGAGCGGATACTCATATATTTGTATACAATAGAGTAGGGCAGCTCTCGACAAATGGTGTTTGACACCGGGCAAACACAGCGACTAGAAAACAAACAAACATAGATTAAGCATTGTTGATGCACAAACTTACAATATTCAGTTGCATTTAGTTGCACTTGGCAAAACTGGCTAGTAAGGATAACCCTAAAAACTGTATGTGGGTTCTCTTACTTCTCAGATGTCAGGACATAGGGTTCTTGACAAGGATTTCTTGGATAACACCGAAATCCACCATGGTAATTCCAGCACATCTCATCCTCTCTGCATTCATTTGTGGTCTCACACTCATTTATATCTAGATGAGAAAGAAAGGAACCAATCAATTTACAGTACACACAAATAGATGGAATGAAAACTTGGTGTTAAGAAAAAACTTAGGAAATGCTTTACTTTATAAAGCAAACAAAAACGCTTCTGGTTCTGCACTTCCTTCTCTGTGTAGTCTTCTGAAGCCTTGTGTAAGACAATGGAACAAGGGAAACCAAGGTATCTCATCCACTGGAGGTTTATAGGATGGTTGGGAACAGTGAATCCTACATCTGTGCAAGGATTGGGCTAGATCAGTGATTCTCAGCCAGGGTGGCATGGTACCCTGGGGTGCTATGAGATTCTTTTAAAGGTGCTCCAGAATATTATCAGTTGGGCAAATGATTCATAAGATAGACCCAGAGATTTCAAATTGGAGTCTACATGAGATGTATTAATGCATTTGCACATTAGCCTAATTTACTGCACAATATGGGTGCACGTCTACATGTGTGCTCCCTTCCTGTGGAGTAAAAATGGATAATTGCAACTATATTTGATACCTACAAATGCAGATATCTAGTTTAGGCATGGTTAGTTAATGTGCAGTAATGCATGTGTAGATGTGACCCGGCAACAACTTTAGTGTTGGGTCTGCCCAGCCACTAGGGGGCTAACCTGAGCCCAGCTCCAGGGCTCCTTGCTGGCTGCCTTTCCTGCTTCAGGGCTGGGCTGCTCCCTGGCTGCAGGGTATAAAAGCATCCATACATTTTGTGCCTTGGGGCACTCGCACCAGGGAGTCTGAGGGAGCCTGTTCTGTGTTCAGGAGCCCAGCAGGCCCCATGTGCACCCCTGAACAGGCTGTCTCTGCCTGGCCTGACCCCTGTGCAGAGCTCCTGCTTGGCCACAAGTAAGTGTTGCAAAGGGCTGCAGCTTGCTGCACCCCTTGCTCAGGCCTGATATTTCCCCAGGACTGCTGACTGGCTGTCTGGCAGCGGGGCCAGCACCTGTTCCCTGCTGCTGCTCACCTCTAGCAGTGTTTCTTTGCTGCATGGCTCCCAGCCCTTGGCTGTGACCCTCTGCTGAGTGATCCCGAGTGCTGTCCAGGGCCGGCCACACAGGGACAGCTATGCAGGGGCCAGAGAGTAGGTGCAGGATGAGAATGTCATCCTTTCTGTTGAGCTTTGGCCCTGCCTGCATGTGCATGGCTGTGCCAACTGTCTGGGCCCCCAACTGGTCCCAGGAAGAGGCTGTGGTGCTTTGGGGCCATGCCAATATGCAGAGGCAGTTTGTACAGGGTGGGTACTTGAATACCCACAATTTATGATGCCCTGTCCAGTGGCACGCATGAGCAAGGGCACTTCCAGTCCATGCAGTAGTTCCGCATTAGGGTCAAGTCCTTGCGGGCACAATGAATAGCTATGACTGACTACAGTCGTCGGTCTGATCACGCCCACAAGACCGTGGCTTTTATGCGGGAGCTGACCCATATTTTGGCACCCCGGGACCAGGCCACACCTCTGCAAGTGTAACCAGAAGGGCAGCCTGGCCAAGCCCTCACCCTGCCCTGACACATCACCAGAGGAGCCCTCAGGCCTTCACCACGCTGCCCTGTCCTCATACCTGGCTGCTGCACCATTAGCAGCTTGGGGAGCCCTGGCCAGTGGCTGCCTTGCTCTTCGCAGAGTCCAAGACCCCACCACAAGGAGTGGCTGGCAATGTCACTTCTGGCAGTGCCAGCTCCTCCCCAGGGGACAGGGTTCTGACGAGGCGCTGGCCCACCACCTACCATGGGCCATGGACACCAGGCAGAGTGGTTGGTCTGCAGTGGGGAGTGGGGTCTGGAGCCACAGCAGCAGGTGCTGCCAGCAGCCTGGCCTGTCCTACCCTGGGAAGAGGTCCTGGATTGGAAGCACTTACAGCTGCTCTGGCAGCAGGGTAAAGCTGGACACCCTCCTGGGCCCAGTGGCTGCATCCATGACCCCATTGTCCAGCCCCTGCCCATGGCCCCACAGGACCCCAAGGAATTGCTCCTTGGGCACCTCTTGCCCACCAGACCCCTTGGCCCAGCCCCTCCCCTGGGCCTGCTGCCACCCACCTGTGCCTGGCCCAGCCACTCTCCCCCACACCACGCATCTGAAGACTCAGCTATTCACGAGCCTGCCACCAACTGGGGTCACTGCAGCCCCCGGACCCACAGGGGAACATCCCAAGGCTGGGGTGTATCTGCCCCGGGGCTGTCCCCTAGTCCCCCCTTCCCCCTATGGCTCCCCACTCTGGGCTTGAAGACCTGAAATATTATAAATAGTGTTTCCATTTGTAAGCTGTTTTTTATAGTTGGTGGGTGGGGAGTGGGGTGGAGGGGTTCTGTTAGTTAAGCGGGAGGGGATTCTGCTTGCTGAGGGGGGAGGGGTGGGGGTGAAGGTTGAAGGTAATACAAGTTTTTTTGTTTTGAACATGTGCGTGTTCTGAGAGTGGTGCTGGGGGTGGGCAGGGGGTAAGGAGGGTGTGGGTGGCAGGGCAGGTGAGCTAGAGCGAGAAGTGCAGGAGGAGGGGGTTGGCCAGGGCTTCCCGCAGTCACTACCCGGGCTATCGCTGTCGGGTGTGTAGCTCTCCTGGAGCCTGGGGGTAGGGAAGAGACTTACTGGGGGCAGCAGGGCCAGTACCATGCCCAGCAGGAGCACAGGGCACTGGTCGTCACTGGCAGGGATACAGCTGGAGTAGTGGGGTGCTGGGTGTTAATGGCAGGGGCAGGAGCAGCCACAGCATGGATAGGCAGGGTGGGCAAAGTGGGAGCTGCTGCCTGCTGCCCCTGTACTGGGCACATGGCGCCTGGGCAGGGAAGGGGCTAGCCAGGGATCAGAGTTTCCAAGATGGCCGCCAAATGCTGGCAGTGGCCAGAGGCTGGAGCTCCTCACAGTGGCCACAGGGTGACATGGCAGGACTGGTGCGAACTGGCACTAATTTTAGTGCCAGTTGGCTGCATGTGTAGACATCTGCCAAAAATCAGTTATTGCACATTAGGTTAATGCGTGGTAACTTTAATCGTGACTAACTGCACATGCAGATGTGCCTACAGTGTCATAAACATTCTGTCATGTTGTAATCTTTGAGTTCTTTGCAACAGAAGTATTGCTTTATTACTATGAAAGCTCAGAGCTAGCGTCTTCTCAGGGGTGTCTTGAGTCTAATGAAAGGTGCCTTAAGCCTAAAAAGGTTGAGAACCACTGGTCTAGACCAACCTTGAGGTCCCTTCTGACTGTGATTCTATGAGGCTTCGGATGGGTGAATAGTGTGAAATGCCAGTAAACCAACCAGGCCCCTGTCACACACCCTAGTTGGAAAGCACTGCCACTGCATGCCATGGCCATGATTTTGAAGTGTGCCAGTGGGGGTGTGCAATCTGAACTGTATGTCAATATGGCACTGAGGTTGAATTTGAGGCACTTCAAATGCATGTCTGTCCACAGCTTGTGTCTCCGGTGGAAAAACTGAATATATCTATTTATTTGGTCTTGCCTCAAAGGTACTGAGTTATTAATGAGCATAGCCAGCAACAAGGTATCTGCAGCTTGCTGAGCCATTTGCTTCTAGAAGTAAGATTTCTGATGGAGAGGAGAAGGCTGATAGATGGTCATGGCTAATGTTGATCAGGAGGCTTATTTTGAATTGGCTGGATTTGAAAGGTTTGTTTTTTTGCATACAGAAATGAACATTTTAATATGGCTTTAGTTAATTAGTTTTATTTGTGTTTATCTCCAACTTTTTTGTCTGAGAATGTTGTTAGTTTTGTGGATAGTATTTTAATGCAGATATATAATGCAGTAGTAGACTGATTTGGGAAATAAAAAGATTACACCTGGGAAAGAGGTGAGGCCTGTGCTGCAGTGAAAGGGCTAAATGCAGGGGCAGGAAAATGAAGAAGTGGTAGCTCTGTTCTGGCAATGAAGGGTGAACATCTACAGGGAAGTGAATAGGAAGGAAGAGAGGAAATATAGGATGTGAGCCTTGATATCCTGTTTCTGACACATCTGGCTGAAAGTGGCCTCAGTTTTCTTTTTTTGACCTTCCCATCTGCTACCCCTGCTTATTAGCTCTGCCACTTTGCTCTGCCTTCCTGCCTTTCTTGCCTTTGTTTCACAGACTAGGAACAGATTTTCAGGGAGGTTAGATCACATTAAAAGTGGCCACCTGATCTAATTTAGTTCACCCAGGTGTGGAGCTAACACTTAGATTGACCTAACTAGAGATCTAAGTGCAAATTGTACCAAAGCTCAGGTGTAAAAATGGCTGCCCCTATCTAAGTTAACTGTATCTCCGAGGTAGTCAAACTTGGATTGGGTCAGGCAAGACCAGTCTAATTGAAATTGTATGTTTCCCAGCACAGCCCTGTAGCTGGGAAAGCCCAGCTGCTGGCCCCAGCTCCAGGGCTGTGCTTTTCCTGCCTGTCCCCTGGCACTGTGCTACTTTTGGCTCCTTGACCTCTTTTCCCTCCCCCAGATGGACAACCCCCCCACCCCCAAGCCCACCAAACCCCACATCTTACAAACCACTCCTGGTGCAGGGAGCTGATCGAAGTAAATTGGAGTGGGCAGAGGGGCAGGTGGGATTGGAGCGGGGCAGTCTTGCTGGGGGAGAGGGTTGTTTATTTGGGGTTGGGGGGGCTAAAAATAGCCCCTGATGTTGGAAGAGGGGTAAGAGAGCCTCCCCCAACCCCGCAAGCCACCTGTGGACCCTTCTTGCCCCTCTGTTCCCTCTTACAGACCCCACTTGTCTCCCTAATTCCTCCTGCAGACCCTGCTTGTCCCCTGCATACTTTGCTTGTCCCCGATCTTCTGCAGACTCCGCTTGCCCCCTCACTCCCCTAGGCCTTGGGGATTGACTGCAAGGCCTTGACGCTCCTCACTTGCCCCCTGATCCCAATTCACCTTAGATTGAGTGGCTGTTTTTAACTCACTCTAACCTTCCCCTAACTTCACTAAATGTCTGTATGTACCCACAGACTTTCTGCTTTGCTTTCCCATGGCTGTGACACCTAGATGAAACTGAGATCCACTGCACTGTGTGAGATGACTGTGATTTGCTTTTTTCACTCTGCCAGTACAGCCCCATTGATTTGTATGTTAGTGTTCCAAATAACAGGTCATCTCAGTCTTGCATGGTTGGTACAGTAATTAATATGCCACATGGTTTCCAGGAACCTAAGACTCTCTTTTTTTCTCTTTCCTTGAGTTTAATTCCATCATGACCAAAGAAATGCCTATTACATGGAGGAAATGCCTCCCCACTCTATATCATCAAAGACAGTAATGGAGATTTTGGTTCTTGGGGGTGTATATGCATGCATGGAAACTCTGCCTATACCTGTCCCTAATACTCCCCTTGCAGGAGCTAAAGACAAAACATGGAAAACTTTTACTCTGCCTCATTGGGGAGGGTGGGGTGCAGTGTACCCCTAAAATTTGCAAAGAGTAGTGCTGGGGGAGTTGTTACATCAAACAGCAAGGTTTTGAGGGGAGTGACTGGGTGTGTGAAGATTTCACCACTACCTCCTCACCCTTCCTGATAAGAGCTGCATGTGTGAACTTGCTTGGGACTCGAGAGTAACTGCCAGGAGGGTTGGGGGTGGATAGAGCATAAAAATGCAGATAACAGGTGGCTGGGCTATATGGAGGATGAGAATAGTAAGGAAATGATTACTGTGTTTTCTCTGTGGTCAGTGTTAATATTCATGGCTCTTAAAAATAGTAGGACAATTTGATTTCACTGGTATATGAACAGTTAACTGAATTTATAGTCTTTGCCAGGGCATACCAAGGATTTCAAAAGAGCTTTTAAAAATACTAAAAAGCATCCATTATCTTTGAGAAAAAATGAATGGAATAAATTTGAATTTTCTAAATCCAGCCATCCCAGAGGAGATGAATTTAAGGCATTATGCTTTTCCACAACTGAAAAAAGATCTTCAAGATGTTTTATCATACCAAGCTCCCTTTTTTCTTCTTTGTAATTGCTGCTGGGAAGAAAACAGGCAAGACAAACTGCAGGTGGAAAGTAGATTTTTTTTAGGTTGCTTATGGGAAAGAATTGTCACATTAAAATTTAGTTTAGTTATAATTTCAACTGTGCAGTTACTACTGAGACTGCAAAATAGTGATGGAAATTGTATGTTTAAAGTTCATAATATAAGCTACTCTCCTTGGTGATGGAGAATACCTCACTTCCTTCATGTAACATTTGCCCCTGCAGAGCACTTAGTACTCGATAGAAAAGAAGACTGATTTCAGTGCTATTGTTGTTTGCATTTCATAAGCATATTGTGGATATAACATATTTCTAAATTTTTTTACACCTATTTTCTGTTATTGGAGAGAGCAGCTGTCCATCACTTATGGTGTAACTTAGGAACCTTTTAAAACTGTAACAGTTGGTGCAAATCCATGTTTACAGACCTAAAACAACTGGCCAGCTTTCATCTCTGAATATTGGGCCCCTTCTTTATGTGCCTGAAAGTGGATGTGATGGCCTAACTTTAGGCACTCTATTTGAAATTTTTTATCTTGGAATCATAAAACTCTCCAGGGAAAAATAAAAATTTAAAAAATGTAACTAATGTAAATTATGTGATCAGTTATCACACAAATGTCCAATCTCGCTTAGTGTAGTATAAACATCCCTATGGCATGTATTCTTAGTCTTGTTTTAAATGTGGTCATTAATATTGCAGTAGTTAAAATGTTAAGACTAGTGCACTTACCTTGGCATGTTCTACCTCCTACTACTTGGTATCCTTCAGGGCAGACACATGAGAATTTCCCTGGTTCATTGACACATTGATACTGACATATGTAACTTGAAGTTCTGCATTCATCAACATCTGGAGAGCAAAGAAACAGTTGGCTCTTATTGTCTTAAAAATCTACTTTGTACAAAGACTACCCATTAATAGAAATAAAATAAACCCAGTCTAAAAAAAGAAATTCTTCAAAATCTGAAATGGTATTACACTTCAGCACCTTAAAGTTGTCTCCAAAAAAAGAAAATTCAACTGGTATTTTTTTTAGCTATTTCCAAATATGAAACTGTAGTGAAATGCATTTAGGTAAGTAGAGATTATATCAGCACAGTTTCAGAATAGGCTTGAGAAAAGAGAGCCGACATATTTTTGTGTTTCAAACATGATCCTTTTTTTCCGTAAGACATGTATAGATCATTTTGGCGGCTTAGCTCTGGGAGATATTTTACCCTGGTCTGTGTATGTAACTCGCAGTGCAGTTAATATGAAACGTTCTTAGGAAGATGTTAAAGACCATTTTTTGCCTTCAAACACTGTTTACTACATCCCATTTTTATTTGGCTTTTGTAACTTTGCAAGTTGATCAATTGATTGCAAGACCATGTTAGGATGAAATGTTATTTAATCATAATTTCATTTTAATTCTATTTAATAATTCCCATTATTGTGAAAAAGTGAAGTAATAGAATTCAGATGTGGCACAGGACTAGGCTAATGTGCCAGTTTGAGACCTGAGCTCAGTTCTTATTCTTGGGTGTGGAGTTCTTTGTGTAAAACCTTCCCTGGTTTCCTATTAAGAAATAGGGTGCACCGATAAAGATTGTTTGGGTCAATACCAATGGCTGATTATTAACAAGCCATGTCGACCGATACCAATCCGATTGTCAATATGCAAGCCTGGCAGCTTGGAGAGAAGCTTCTGGCTGGTAAGTCTGTTGGGGATAAGGGGCATGGTGGGGAGACTGAGGCCCCTGTCATGAGAGATGGAGTGGGGCTGGGTCAGGGGCAGGCGCTGCCCAACTGGAGTGGAGCAAGGCACAGGATGGAGCTGAGAGTGGCTCCTTTGGGAAGGAAGGGCAGCTCCCGCCGCTGCATGGACCCCAAGGGAGGCATGGGGGGGCACGTGCCTCCTGGATCTGTGCATGGGGCAAGGGTGGGCTACCTGCTGCGTGCTTGGGGCTGAAGTCAGTGCCAGGCTATTTCTGGTGAGGGGGTTGGGCTGGGACTGTGTTTGGTCTGGGTGGCAGGGGCACTGGGAGGGAGGATTTGAGGGGTGGTGCTATGGTGAATTTTGGGGTGGCTGTATCCCACCCTGTAGCCCCCCTCCTAGCACCACCACTGCTTGCCCCAAGCGCAGCCCCAGCCCAACCCCCCGCCCAAAAGAGCCCGGAGCCAGCCTCAGCCCACAGTGGCAGCCTGCCCTCGCCCCGTACACAGATCCCCTCCCTGTGCCACCTGGATGAGCTCCTTGCAGCTCCGTCCCATGCCTCACTCTGCCCTGGCCAGGTAGCACCTGCCCCAGCCCCAGCCCCACTCCC